ATGATCTTCGTGCATATCAAGGGTTTGTTTGCAACACAAGACGTGCCGCCCTCGATATCCCCGAACCTGCAATCTATTGCGCGGGGCAATCTATTGCCCGGGGCAAGTCGATATAGCGAACGCGTGTGATCGTCAAGCAACATCTGGAGCCAGCAACAGCAACACACAACAAAACAGAAAAGACACAACCAACCAAGAACGCACACGCAACAACAGCAACAACTGCAAGAAGCAGCTACAGAAAGTTCAAACACCAATAAACAACAAGAAGCATCGACAACAACAACATGCAGGCAACATGCGATAAAAAACAACACAAGCATGCTGTAAAAGCCGAGGCCCCCGGCGGGCCACCACAGCTGCCAGGGCCGCCCCAGCCAGAGCCGCAGCCAGGGCCACAGCCAGGGCCACTTGGGCCACTGGGGCCACCTCCACCCCAGCCAGGGCCACCAGGGCCACAGCCACCGGGGCCACAGCCACCGGGGCCACAGCCACCGGGGCCACAGCCACCGGGGCCACAGCCAGGGCCACAGCCAGGCCCGCCGCCCCAGCCAGGGCCACAGCTGCCGGCGCCTCCGGGGCCTCCGGGGCCTCCGGGGCCTGCGGGGCAACAGCCGCCGGGTCCGCCGTAGCCCGGGCCGTAGCCCGGGCCCTGGCCGTACATCGTGCCTCAGCCGGAGATCGCATACTAAGCAGGCCAGGATGTTGAGGAGGGGGAGGCAGTAGCAAAAACAGATAAGCAAACAGAACGAGGAGGGAAGAACTCGGATTGTGATGGCGTTTTTGGGCTACCGGCGTGGAGGCATTGTAAAAGCATAGCTGCCACTTCTCGGCCTTCTCTCCGTTTAAGCTCTACCTCCACAGCGGGGTGGGTACCTTGAAGACACTCCCCCAATGTTTGGGCTTAACGAGCCGTGCATCAGAGCGTCCAAGAACCCTTTGAGGATTGGCTATTGGTGGGTTGAAAGGGATCAAGTGTTTCCTCTGGAGCGGTACTTGGCAACAGGCAAACGGACTCAAACAGTTAGGGCGGGCCTTGCTTGGCCAACCCCTTGCCCACCCAATGATGTCTAGTTTGGTTGCTAGGGCTAAGAAAACACAATTGTCCTGTCCAAGAACCTTTCTTTGCAGCTTGCCCGCAGCTTGTCCGACTCACAACCCAAGTAGGTTGGTCAAATAAAGCATGACATGTTTGTTAAAGCCTACCGCTGGCATGATCTTCCCAATCATTCGCAACTTCCATGGTAGCCAGAACATCGCCGTCAAAAGAAACAAACCACACACAGCAAAATTGCACAGATTCTTAGCCAAACATCCAAGCAAGCAAGCAAGCAAGCCAGCCAGCCAGCCAGCCAGCCAGCCGCCAGCCAGCAAGCAGCAAGCAAGCAAGCAAGCAAGCAAGCAAGCAAGCAAGCAAGCAAGCAAGCAAGCAAGCAAGCAAGCAAGCAAGCAAGCAAGCAAGCAAGCAAGCAAGCAAGCAAGCAAGCAAGCAAGCAAGCAAGCAAGCAAGCAAGCAAGCAAGCAAGCAAGCAAGCAAGCAAGCAAGCAAGCAAGCAAGCAAGCAAGCAGCAAGCAAGCAAGCAAGCAAGCAAGCAAGCAAGCAAGCAAGCAAGCAAGCAAGCAAGCAAGCAAGCAAGCAAGCAAGCAAGCAAGCAAGCAAGCAAGCAAGCAAGCAAGCAAGCAAGCAAGCAAGCAAGCAAGCAAGCAAGCAAGCAAGCAAGCAAGCAAGCAAGCAAGCAAGCAAGCAAGCAAGCAAGCAAGCAAGCAAGCAAGCAAGCAAGCAAGCAAGCAAGCAAGCAAGCAAGCAAGCAAGCAAGCAAGCAAGCAAGCAAGCAAGCAAGCAAGCAAGCAAGCAAGCAAGCAAGCAAGCAAGCAAGCAAGCAAGCAAGCAAGCAAGCAAGCAAGCAAGCAAGCAAGCAAGCAAGCAAGCAAGCAAGCAAGCAAGCAAGCAAGCAAGCAAGCAAGCAAGCAGACACACAAACAAACAAACAAACCAAATAAACCAACAAACAAACAAACTAACCAAATAGACCAACAAACAAACAAACAAGCAAGCAAGCAAACAAACAAACAAACAAACACGTGTTTGCCCATTGCCTTGTCGAGTTTCCAGCGGCTGATTGGTAGACCCCAGGGGTAAGTATCCCAGGTGCATGGCAGGGCGCCATCCTCCAAATCTTCGTCACAGACGTTTTAACGGAAACATCTGCAAAGCCCACCTTGGTTCCAAAACTTGAGCTAAGGGATCCCCAAGTAAAGGACCTACATCATGCTGAGCTCGTTGTACCCTTGTGGGCTTTGCCTACAAATGGCCAAGACAAACAAAACGGAAGTCTCCCGGACAAACTCTGAGAGCGTCGCCTGCGTGGAAGCTTTGTCCGCGGGCCACGGGGATTTCCCCACTTGAAGCCGCACACAGCCGGGCAGGGAGTGTGGTTTGCTTGTGTGCGCTTCCTACAAACCATGCCCTCCCGCGCGCATGCCTATGCAACAACTATCTTTTTTCTCAGCTGCCCAAGAAGCAAACAACAATGTGCACTGAGGGGTGGGGTTTGTCTGTCGTTCTGGGGGCCCCCTGTTCTACAGCAGGAGCAGAGAATTTTGTACGAGTTACACTTCCGCAGCTCCAGCTCGAATCTTGCAACGATAAAGTGTAGTACGCGAAGAACGCTTCCGCAGCTCCAGCTCGAATCCCGCAACTTTGCAGAAAGAGTGTAGTACGCGAAGTACGCTTCCGCAGCACCAGCTGGAATCTCGCAACTTTGCAGATGAAGTGTAGTACGCGAAGTACGCTTCCGCAGCACCAGCTGGAATCTCGCAACTTTGCAGATGAAGTGTAGTACGCGAAGTACGCTTCCGCAGCTCCAGCTTGAATCCCGCAACTTTGCAGAAAGAGTGTAGTACGCGAAGAACGCTTCCGCAGCTCCAGCTCGAATCTTGCAACGATAAAGTGTAGTACGCGAAGAACGCTTCCGCAGCTCCAGCTCGAATCCCGCAACTTTGCAGAAAGAGTGTAGTACGCGAAGTACGCTTCCGCAGCACCAGCTGGAATCTCGCAACTTTGCAGATGAAGTGTAGTACGCGAAGTACGCTTCCGCAGCACCAGCTGGAATCTCGCAACTTTGCAGATGAAGTGTAGTACGCGAAGTACGCTTCCGCAGCTCTAGCTCGAATCTCGCAACTTTGCAGATGAAGTGTAGTACGCGAAGTACGCTTCCGCAGCTCCAGCTTGAACCCCGCAACTTTGCAGAAAGAGTGTAGTACGCTAAGTACGCTTCCGCAGTTCAGCTCGAACCTCGCAACTTTGCAGAAAAAGTTTAGTACGCGAAGAACGCTTCCGCAGCTCCAGCTCGAACCTCGCAACTTTGCAGAAAAAGTGTAGTACGCGAAGTATGCTTCCGCTGCTTCAGCTCGAGCCGCGCAACTTTGCAGAAAAAGTGTTGTACGCAAAGTACAGTTCCGCTGCTCCAGGTCGAGTCTCGCAAAAGAGTGAAGTACGCAAAGTACGCTTCCGCTGCTCCAGCTCGAGCCTCGCAACTTTGCAGAAAAAGTGTAGTACGCGAAGGACGCTTCCGCAGCTCTAGCTCGAGACTCGCAACTTTGCAGAAAGAGTGTAGTACGCGAAGTACGCTTCCGCAGCTCCAGCTCGAATCCCGCAACTTTGCAGAAAGAGTGTAGTACGCGAAGTACGCTTCCGCAGCTCCAGCTCGAATCTCGCAACTTTGCAGAAAAAGTGTTGTACGCGAAGTACGCTTCCGCAGTTCAGCTCGAACCTCGCAACTTTGCAGAAAAAGTGTAGTACGCGAAGAACGCTTCCGCAGCTCCAGCTCGAACCTCACAACTTTGCACAAAAAAAAAAGTAGGCGAAGTACGCTTCCGCAGCTCTAGCTCGAATCTCGCAACTTTGCAGAACAGGTGTTGTACGCAAAGTACAGTTCCGCTGCTCCAGCTCGAACCTCGCAACTTTGCAGAAAAAGTGTAGTACACGAAGTACGCTTCCGCTGCTCCAGCTCGAACCTCGCAACTTTGCAGCAAAAGTGTTGTACGCAAAGTGCAGTTCCGCTGCTCCAGCTCGAACCTCGCAACTCTGCAGAAAAAGTGTTGTACGCGAAGTACAGTTCCGCTGCTCCAGCTAGCTACTTTGCAGAAAAAGTGTTGTACGCAAAGTACAGTTCCGCTGCTCCAGCTGGAAAATCGCTACTTTGCAGAAAAAGTGCTGTACGCAAAGTACAGTTCCGCTGTTCCAGCTAGAAAATCGCAACTTTGCAGAAAAAGTGTAGTACACGAAGTACGCTTCCGCTGCTCCAGCTAGAAAATCGCTACTTTGCAGAAAAAGTGAGTGCCCGCAAAGTACAGTTCCGCTGTTCCAGCTAGAAAATCGCTACTTTGTAGTGCAAGTGTAGTACACAAAGTGAAAACCGGCTGTGCAGTTCTAGTACAACCTGCCGACTCCTGAAAGCTTCTCGTTTTGCATGAGAAATGTTCCCAGGTATCTGCAGTGTTAACTTTGCGCTGGCAAACGTTTTCGTTCAATGACTGAAAGTTGGTTGCTTTGGCAGCAAACCAACATGTGTAGTAAAGCTATTGTATTTTTACCCATGTCGTGTTACGCGCTTTCGCGACTGTCCAAAAAAGATTTGCACGACTCTCTACCTGCCACATGCGGAAGAGTAGTGACAAATGATGCTGACAGGCCAAGGCCAGTCACAAGCATGACATTCATGTCACCATCTTGCAAGCCTACACATCAATCAATGAAGATGCGATATGACCGCGCTGCAACAAAGACTTCGGGGAAACAAATCAAGAACTTGATTTCAGCTTCCCGTTCGTCTGGCTTGATCGTTGCAGAAAGGCAGCTCCTGCCGTACCCTGAACGCTTGCCGTGCTTCGTGTGGACCCTTCAGGCGGCATCTTTGCCTCCCAAAACAGTTTTAATAGAACAACATTCAGCGATTCCTATCTGCCTGCAGTGCCGAATGAGTATGCAGCCTGCTTTTCTCAGAGAATTGTCCAGCTGCCGACATTTGCAACTTCACCAAACTCATTGGCTTGCTGTACAAGCAGGTCGCGTCAACCTAAGAGCCTAACCTGTGATGTATTATGCATCTCCATGAGGCACGTATGTATGCCCGATAAAGGAATTGCAATTAAAAGTCTCCAGAGGTTCCCTGGAAGGTTTTGGCATCTTGAAACGCTGGAAAGGAAGGGGACGTGTGGGTAAATCGTCCCGTTTGGCTGACGCTCCACGCCAAGCTCGGCTCCTAACCGCCCCAAGGCTGGAAGGCGTGCCGAACGCAAAAGTAAACCAGAACGGGTGAGCCCTCTTTGCCTGGGCGCGGAGGTTCCCGAGCGAGGGGGTCAGTATGTGCTGCTGGCGGTGCCAGAGCTTTGCTTGGAGCCCACTCTGGACCTTGGGCTTGGCCTGGGGGACGAGCACGCAGACGTAGAAGAGCTAGCTGCCTTTGGCCCAACTTCAAACATGAGCTGCACACAACTACCACTTTGAAAGCAAAACACGTTTTGGAGGGTCAACGCATTTTTTGAGGCGGGTGAACATCAACAGCTTCAGGTTTCGATCAAGGCTGGCCTGCTTCCGCAGAGGTGAGCCCAACTGGGAGCTAGCCTCTGAAGAGTAGTGGCAATGCTGCGGCACGTTCAAGCTGTTGGTGTGCTTCTTGGCATCTGCTTGGTCACAGAGCCTTGGGCGACTTCAAGCAATGTGACTCACCATGGAACATTCGCCAACAAACACGCGCTCAGTGCGCAGCATATCTGCACAAAGAGTATGGCTCCGACGTCTTCGCGAAAGTTATGTGTGTCGTTCAGTGCCTTGTTCTTGCCCCGTCTCTCCCACTCTCTCCCATCTCCAGGCCTCTCCCGGCGCACGACGCGCCTCGCAAGCTAAGGCCGAACCGCCTCTCTGCCATCCTTGCTATAGCTTGCAAGCTGTCTCTGTCTGATCCATTGCCCCTTTCCTTGAGGTCTCCCGCAACAAAATGCTCTGCGAAGCCTGACATGATTTTGCTGAGCACACTTCTCTACAAGAGGCAGAATGCAATCCGGGTACAGCGCTGGCTTGAGAACGCTTTTTCAAAGCACGTCTCAAAAACATATTTACTGGAGGCCCTGCATATCAAGCCAAACACGTACTGTGAAAGCTTCAACAAAGATTAGACACAATGCCTTCATACTTTTGATGAACAATCGTCCTGCACAGCTCACCCTACTCCAGAAAGTGAGATTCATCTGGTCCCCTCTCCCACCGGCCCAACAATTGTGTGCCAAACTGGGCTAACAGAGGGATCCTGAATCCCAATCTTGCATCCTCACTGGGAAACTCCTTCAAAAAGGGACACAAGCTATGGCCCTGGCAAAAAAACAAAAAAACTTCCGCCTACCACCACAACCTGAAAAAGGTGACCTAAAGCCCAGCACCTTGGGAATCTGATCCCCATGGCTTCGGCACCAACGGCCGATTTGCGTCGAGGCGCTGCTCGCCCCAGCTGGGCGTCCAGAGCCGGCGTTTGTGGCACCTGGGACCCATCGCTCGGGAGGTGCGGGGAACGAGATTTCGCTTTTTGCTAGGCTGGAATTCGGACCCCCCCCACCCCTCAAAGCGCCGCGCCCTCAGTGCACTTGGCAAGCCGCAAAGACAAAAAAAAGCCGGGAATTCGGACCCCAGCAACAAAATTATCCTTTTTGCCTGCTTAGTGGAAAACAAAGGGACCCCAAAAAAGCAAAAAAAACAAAAACGAACAGGGGAGCTAATTCTGGGGAAGTTTTGTTGGCTCGCTAAGTCCAATGGACGCTGGCACGCCTTGCAATTAAGCTCGCCCAACCAAATGTTCGCCTGAAAGTCCGGCCCCCTTCATGGAACGAAGAAAAGCGATCCCCGATTTGGGTGCCTTGAAGGGACCTTGTTATATACCCCTTGTCCAGGGAATGAGAAATAGAATGAACGCAAGAACGCCTATAAGCTATATGGCTTCCTTTAAGGGAATGCCCAACATTCCTTCCCTAAACACCTCAATTGCCCAAAGGACTCAAAGGTTTCCCCTTGTTTCACGGGGTGAAGGATGTTGAGCCGTCTTTTGTTGAACTCACTTGCCCACAGGACCTGAGAATAAACCTGGGGCCAGGAGTACAAATGGTTGCCAAAAAAGGGGAAACCAAAAGGGTCAGATCCTGTCGATTCGCTTTGGGCAAGTTTTAGCTGGTGTAAGCGGGCATCTGTAATCTGATCTTGGGAAGCCCAACCACCAAAATAGGCTCAACGCAACCCGCCTAACCCATCGAGCAACGCGTCAGACTAGATTGGTACATCCTGGAGATTCATTCTCCGGCCTTTTCCTAGGCGTTTTAGTTTCCTGGTAGTTTTGGGCGTGTTGGGCGTCTAAGTGGTTTCTAGGAGTTTTGCGCGACCCCCGAGCCCAAAAAGTGTCTTTTTCTGATTTGCGGGCGTTTGCGGGGTTTTGCGGGCTTTTTGCAGGCTTTTTGCGGGCGTTTTGCGGGTAATTCTGGGCGGGGAAAACGTGAACCGTACCAATTCTGAAATCTCACAAAAATATAGGAGCTTTAGTAGTTTAGGCGACTTCACGAAAAAAAACATCGAGATTTACGAAAAGCAAGTCAAAGCCGAGAACTACCAGGAAATTCATGGAGAATGAATCTCCAGGATGGCCAGAGTATCCTTTATGCCTTGGGGAAATGCCATGCGAAAAACGAACCTGCCTTGCCCTGGGAGAAAAAACGATGCGTCGGAATTGTTTGTGGCGCCTGTCATCTTCGTTCCCCTGGCAATGCGCGCAAACCACCGTGACGAGGCCCACGTCTCGGCACCGCCGGCAGAAGTAGAACTCCTTCTCTGTGGACTGATCCTGGGACCCGCAAGGGTCGAGGGCCAAAAAATGGGAAACAACACCAAGCTGAGAGGGATTGCAACTGGATCCGTGAAAGAAGAATATCTTGGAGCACGTGCACCGTGTGCCAGACACTAGTTCTTCACTGCGGCAATCCCACGTGGCTGGACGGCTGTTGCTTTCCGTACCCAAAAGCTGAATTGCTATTTCCATGGCGGCTGGTATCAGGCTTGATTCCAAACAATCGATGTAGCCTTCAAATCGAAATCAATTTCAAGGCCGTAGCAAATCTAGAATCAGGCATTATCTAACATCAGGAAATAAACTCAAATTCTCCGGGATGGGGCAGGAAGCAATGGCTGGTGCCTGCGGGGCGGGGTTTGCATGTGCGCCGGCAGCAAAACGCCAGTTTGTTTCTCTCCTCGAACTGACGGGACAAAACTCTGCCAAGCATCGCACAAGAAGCCATGGCACTCGCGACAGCAAATGCTTTTTGGAATGGAAGGTAATAAAGAGCACGGCAGAAATGCCTGCTTTATCGTGTGGGCAAGGACGAGGTCTGAGTCGCTGCAAAGCACCCGGTGGTGTTCGTCCGCTCTTTCGTCTTTCGGCAGCCTCCTGCTTCCACCCATGCTTCTTTGCTCGACGTCGTGATACTTGCGGGCCATTGCCTTAGCAGATTGGGACCAAACGCTTGCACCGCCAACCTGAGGTTGGCCTTCCGCAACTGGTACACTCCGCGCAACAAACTGAAACCCACTCCTGCAACCAAGCTGCTCTAACACGGCAACTCCGAATGTTACTGCTGACTGCGCCCATGTCTATCAGGCGCTAGCAGCTAGCAGCCAGCAGCTCTGGGCCAAAACTGCTAGAATCCTGGAATAGCAACTAAGGGTTCAAAATGGCTGGCAAATGTTTGGAATCTCTGAGGCGATTGTCTGTGATCCTAGGGGGAAACCCAAAGCCAAGGACGGGAAACCACAGCTGGGGGCAATATGTGGGGAGTCCATGGGGTTATATACCCTACCTTTCACAAAGTCTATAAGCAGAAAAAAAAAAAAAAAAAAAACAAGTAGCTAGACTGTTTTTTGGACGAAAGACAATTTTTTTGGCCGAACAACCATATTTTGCGCCTGGCCCTGAATACTTCAAAAGTCACACTTAACTTCTGTTACCTTAGTGATACAAGTCCAAGTGCTCCTTGGTCTCCCAAAAGCTGTCTAAAGTGAGGTCGAGGTAGCTCAACCATGAAATGGTTAGAGGCCATATGTTTGAGCATGTATCAACATTCTAGCTTGGTCTTTCTTTCTGGGGATATACGGAAAAATGTTTCGTGGAACTTTCGAAACTCGTCAATGCTCAGAACTGCAGAGGCTGGTTTTCGGCTTCGATGAGCTTGTGCCCACAAAAGCCGAGGTCCCTTTGTTGGGAGTACACACCCCATCACACCCTCTCTGGATTGCAAATCTCCAGTCCTCGTAGCTGTGTTTTTCCCATGGCAAAAGGTCACGCCAATTCGCGCAAGTCAGGAGTCACTTCGCTTCAAGCGAGTCGGGCTCCTGAAAATGCCTACTCCTTCCAGGTTGCACAGGCAATGCCAGTAGTTTCCTGAAAAAACAATGGGAGAGGTACGTGTTCTCCTGCTTAGCGGGTTGGGGAGTATGACTCGTGGATCATATAGTAGCCCAAACGCGGAGACGTTAGATTACCCCTGCATTTAGACCACCGACCAAACAAATCCAAACCCTGCATTCCCAACAAAATGAACATAAACGTTAAACGGAATTCCAGGGCTCACCACCCAGAAAGCGTAGGATGTCACAAAAGATATGGCTCAAAGCTGTTGCCAACTGCGAAATCAGCAATTCTCGCACCTTCTCAGGGCCCCTTCAGCTTTGTCGCTCAGGGTCTCTCGTCGCCATCACCCACCAAAATGGTCCAAACAAAAGAAGTGACTAAAGTCCATGAAGTCAGGGAATGAGTATGTGATGATCCAAACGCTGGCCTGTGCAACCCTCTCCATCGCCTTCCTTGCCCAATGCTCAGGCTTTGGCCTCCGAAGGCGCTCACCGGGGCTCGTGTGTCGATCCCTTTTTGAAGATGTCTGAAGAAGCATTGCAACATCTTGGTTGCTGTTGACCCCTCTGCAAAAAGTTTAGCTCTTCGTGGGTTTAGTGGAAAACCGCATAATTTCCCAACAAGTTAAAGTCTAAAGATCCAACCCAACAGCAGTCAAGACATGTTCGAAGCACAGGGACGAATTGGATTGGGAGGTCAGCTGCTTTAGAAGCTGCCCGAAACTTGACGATGTGCCTCGTGTGGGTTTGAGGGCATCACTGGTTTGGGCTGTTCACAGGGATGTCGGCTATTTTGGAGTCAGGAACCACACGGTATTTACCAAACATCTGCAGTTCATTTTGCGGAAAAAGTAGCCAACCCCCGCACACCTGAAGAACGGTTCTCAAAACCATCTTGGAAAGAAGTTCTTTGAAGGGTTCTGAGAACCTGCGGGATGGGGCGAAGCTTGCAAGCGCAAAGCGGCTGAAGGAAGCCAAGCCGATTGATCGGGGTTTGAGAAACTTGAACCAGTTTCTTTCCGTGAATCTACAAGCTGTGCACAGATCCCCTTCCCACTGCACTGGCCAGTGCCGAATTGGCTTACGCCTTGGGGTCATCCACCCACCTCAGCCCGGCGCGAGCTTCGCCTCTGATTTACACCTGGCAAAGAAGTCCCTCACGACCCCGCAATGTCATCGTTTACATGGGTGTGGGTCAAAAATAGGTACCCAGAAGGGAACCCTGGTAAATGGAAACAAAGACTAAAACCTGCAGTGCCCTGATGGTCTAATTTTGACCCATACCCACATGGGAGTTTACGTTCACCAGTCGGCCTTGAGGATGTTCCCCGATGATTTGTTGACAAAAAGGATGTGGCCCCCCGTGCACAGTGATTTGCCGACCTCGGCCGTTTGCAATAAAAACAACTAGTTCAGATTCTCTCTGGTCCATGGCGAGCCTCAAAGTGCAAGCTGCGAAAAGAGACCCCGGATTTGATGGGACCGAACAAATCTTTGTGACTTTGGCCCCACCTGACTTTGGCCCCAGCATCGGCTTGCGCAAAGAGATCCATCCCCGTTCCGCCCGGGTTCTCGCAGTACCGCCCGAAAAACAAGGAGTGCTCCTTTTGAACATCTTGGCCCAGCTCCGGGGCACACCACTATGTTCAGATCCTGCTTCAGATTCAGCCTGCCTGAGGGTATGAAACATGGAGTTGGAGACCCCAGAAACTGTACCACTAGACAAAAACGGTCCCAAAAAGTTTGAAGTCCAACTCAGGGAGCGAGCCCTGCTCTTGAAAGCACATAGCGCCTGGGTGGGGAAGCGCCACGTCTGGCTTTCCGCAGCCCCGGGCCAGCAAAGCCCACCGGCCTGGGCCAAGCTGAAGGATTCGACAGGCGCATCCTCGAAATGGGTAGGGAAACCTCATTATTTACCATCTAGGTCCTTCAGTAGAGAGGTTCGAAGAAGGATATCCTTTTTCTGCAGTCTATTTTAGCAGGGGAGCCATTGTCAAACTTACCGCCTTTTGCCGTTTCGATAGCGCAAAGTGTCTGTTCGACGGCGCGACTTACTGGCGGGCGAAAAAACAGAAGGAAGAAACTCACCCCTGTTCAGTGGTAGACTAAAGGGCAACAACCAACCAGCTTCAGCCAAAATAACCAGGCAAATCATTAAAACTCAGCTTTGCGCTTCTTGGTCGTTAGCAAACAAATCTTTGGTAGTTGGTGGCTTCCCAGTTACCCTCCACCGGAAACCCCCACGCCAATCCAAACCTCGGGGTCCGAGGGTCGGAAGAGACAAGCGGCTCACCGTTCACGGGCCCGGGCCCGACAGGCCTGACGGGCCTGACAGCGGCTTCAGGCTTGACGGTTTTGACAGGCCCAGGCCTCGCGTGTGTGACGGGCTCAACCTAACGGGACAACGGGCTCGACGGGCACGACGGGCTCCACACACTGCCGCAAAAGATAGATTGTTGGATAGCTGGACAAATGGAAAGAACGATAGACAGTTGGATCGATAGACAAGTGATAGATATTTTGTTGCTTTGACAGAAATGTAGATAAATAGGAGAGAGACAAGTAGATAGATGATAGATAGACAGATACATAGATAGATAGATAGAGAGATAGATCGACAGATACGTAGATGGATAGAAAGAAAGATAAATAGAGTCGCAAATACATGGATGGGATTAAAGTATCTTGGATAGATGGTAAATATCTTAGACAGATAAAGCGGTAGATGGACAGAGACAGATAGATGAAGCTGAAGGTCGACGCTGAAAGGCTTGGTCGGGGAGGCGGACGGCGCAGCGGGGTAGTCCGCCGCGTCGGGGAATTGCTGGCGCAGCTCGAGGTCGTTCAGAATCAGCCGGTTGCCGTCGTAGGCGACGCTCAGGCTGTTCGTGGTCTCGCTGTAGGTGGCGGTGCCGAAGTGGGAGCTGACCCAGGCTGCAGCCGGGCGCTCGTGTACAGTTCAGCGTGCCGAGCGAAAGAAATGAAGATGGGTAGGTAGATGGGCAGATAGATGGATAGATAGATAGGTAGACTGATGCACACATAGAGACAGGTGCGCAAATAAATCGGTATGAGAGATATGTCGATAGAAGGATAGCAAAATAGAGACAAAGGGAATGGAGTGATAAATCGACTAGAGTACAAGAACAGATAACTAGATAGGCAGGTTTGCAAATGGATTAGATTAGATTGGATTAGGTCAGAGCAGATTGGATCAAACAAATAGGTTGGTAGACATGCGCAGATGCGTTGTTGGACAGACGGGTGGACAAACAAACGAATAGACAGGTAGATGAACAGATGCACAAAGACCTGCGTGGATGAAGGGGCAGACACATGGCTAGATAGAAAGATGAGTAGGCCAAGCTTCTATCAGTGTCGCTAGCATAACCAGGGCTCCCGTTTGAAGCGTCTCGCCTTTTCTCCCAAAAGCATCTCTGGCGCGATGGGTGCGGGAGCTTTCGACGGGGCCGTGCGGGTGGGATGTGGACTCCGAGTTGTCCTGGTGGGATTTGCAGGGCATTGGCTCCTGGGATCGGGGCGTTCGTGGGCGTGAGCTCGAGAGAAAACTACAGATCTTAATTGCTTCGTGCCTGGCGTGGGTTGTCAGCCAACGGTAGCCTCGTGTCAAGATCAACTGCTTCGAAACCTTCAATTTCCCACGGGCATGACTGCATCAAATTAATAGCCTCCTCTTTCGTCGGCCTTGACAGGCCCGAAGAGCTTCACGGGCCCGGCGGGCTCGACGGGCCCAACGGGCCTGACGGGCCCGACGGGCCTGACGGGCCCGAACAGTGAGAGGACATTGGCCGAAGCGGAAGTGACGAATCCGCCAAACTCCGATTCGAGCGAAACTTCGCCAAAGCACTCCGCGACCGTCATGAACTCCTGGGTTTCAATGACCCAAAAAGGCCACAGAGGGTCGGCGCACGGTTCCGGCAAGTGGAGTGGTTCCTCAACAAGAGGGGCACCTCTCCAGGCTTCAAAAGGAAGGGCTCCGAGCCAAGTTGCCTTCTCCGCAAAAGCCGTGGATTCCCCTCTCCAAGGACCACACGGGAAATGGCGTGAGCTTGGCCCAACCCCCATGGATAATGATCGACAAGCCCAAAGGTGATCCGAACCCCCTCCAAAATGGGACACCTGCCAAGCCGATGTGAGAAACTTAAGTGGTAAGCCCCCCCCTGTTCAAGGTCGACAAGGTTTGGGAAAACCTGATCTTGGGGGTCCTCTGGGGCTCCCTCAGATTAGTCCAGACCCGGTCCCTTCTGTGTGGACCCCTGTCTGGCCAATAGGACTGCAATAGGAAAGTAAAGGATATTGCATTTTGCTATTTTCCAGGGCTGGAGAGGGACTTGAGTAATCAGAGGGAGTCTTGTGTTAATTCGTGCGGGCTAGCCTTGGGGTACCCTTTGCGAGCTTGTCAAACCTTGTTGTTTAAAGTTTAAACACATTGTAATAAGAAGTTTGCTGCTTCCGGCGCGGCTAGCCGTGTTTTTTTACTTCCGGAATGGCAACCCTTGAGACTATGAAAGGAGACAGTATTGGCAAAGGTATTGGCAATAGCTTTGGCAATTCACCACTTATTATTTTGTATTTTTGTAAATTTGGGCCTTTCAGGGGCGTCTTCAATCAGAGGGGGTTCTGGGAGGTGCCCAAAAACACTTAAGAGGGTATCTTTGGGCCAAGCCGGTGGGTGTCTACACTGGGAGCCGGAATGGCACCTTTTGGGCACCTTGTGGAGAAACAGGCCCATGCCCGAAGGAAGCGGTCTATGGCTTGTTTGACTCACTTGAGTTGGTTGGGCAATGAACACTTCGAGCTTACTACATGGTCTTCCCAAGTATCAAGCCAGGACACCTTGGGAAGTGAGTTCAACACCAGATTTGTGCTGAGTGTCAAGTGAGTGGGCCCCGAAAAACGGGAAGCGGCAGGAATCCGTTGGGTCAGGACAACCCGCCAGCAACTGGGCTACTAAGCACATAGCTAGCCATCTAAGAGTAAGCAGGGATTTTCATAAAGCTCCTTTTTAGTTCCTTTAAAGATCAAAGCCATCTCAAAAAGTTCCTGTGGCACTTGTGGGGCGATGTGTTTCCTACGGGAACAAACCAAGACCAACTGGCGTCGGCCGCCTTCGGAGCAGGTGGCCGTACCCCCCCCCCCCGCCCTCCCCGCCCTTTCGGGAGCCGGGCCCATATTCCGCCGGCGCGGTGCGCAGAATCTCTGCGGCGGACCTGAGACATGATCGCCCGCTTCGGGCGATCTAAAGCGGGAAGCGTCCAGTTCCATTCGTTCCCAGCAGCCTGTCAGGAAACCATGCAGAACCCAGGTAAGACTGCTGTGTTGTCTCTGAAAAGGAATCCACTGAACAGTCATGAACTCAGAAGCCCAGTGACCCTAGGTAAACAGTACACTTTTATTTGCCTTAGCTTCTCTTAACGAGAAACCCCTCCAAAACCAACTGAAAAAAAAAAGGCAAGTGCGCTAGCCTCCGCACTTCCTTGGGCCGCTGCTTGCTGATCCCCTGCTTCGAGAGCCGCTTCGGCTTCGATTGAAACTCCTGAGCCGGAAAGTTCACATGGCAGCGACCCGAAAGTACAAAAAGAAACGGAGCCCTTCTCAGGATTGGACACCCATTTAGCGAGAAAGCCGAAAGAAAGAACACGGGATGAGGAAACGCACCGATTTTGCTCAATCTAGGGGCGAAACGATTCTTCGTTGAAAGAGGATGCATACCTGAATCTCCTGGAGCCTTCTTGAACCGCTTTGTGATGCTGCCACTAAATCTCAAGACGCCGACTATTGTAATAACGCGGCAACTCAGAAGGTATTCAAGGCTAGTACATGATAAGCCGTTGAAACCTTGACAAATGGAGCCAATTCCGCTGCAGCGCAAGCCGTGTCCGACCGAGGCCTGTCGGCACGATGTGACGCGGCTCGGAACCCAGTCCTTAAGAGGCTCAAGCGTGGCACCTGTCAAGGGGCAGAGTCTATCATGGTCTATCTGAGTGCTAAAAAGGGGCGTCTGGCACAAATGGATCAACTATCTCGGCTAATTGCCTGAGCTGAGCAAAAAATGTTTCGTAATCCCAACAACCTGGACCTTCCATTGATACCTTTTTTTGCTCGCTTTGTTTTCTGCTCGAACACACAGTTTGTGCCCGAGTCTTCAATTTCTGCCCGAGCAATGACCAAGTGCCCGAGGTTTATATTTCCAAACGAGCACTTTTTCGAATTTGCGCTCGTTTGCCGGTTTTTGCGCTCGTTTTGCGGGCCGTTGCGGGCGTTTTTGCACACCATTTCTGCTCGAGTAGGCCATGTTAGAACCTGACAGCCCGCATGCCTCCAAAAACTGTTCGAGGTCCAAAAAAGAGGACAAGCAACCAGCCGATTGACAGGGGAGGCAGAAATTTCAGGTACGATTGAAGGTCCAGGAAGATGTGATTCTGGGCTCACATGAGGTCATTAAAAAAAAAATCATTCTGAAACCACAAGGGCCATCAAGACTACCTTGGTATCACAAGTTGCCTTAAATCCCAACCTGCAAGACCGATACCAGCACCCCCCACGAAAGCAGTTTTTCAACCAAAGTGTCCAAGCAGTGGTTGGGGGTGTTGCTGCCGAGCATATTCAAATGGCTGCCTGCTTTTAATACAAGCAGCCCACAAGGCCCCTTTCAGACCCTTGCTCACCTGGGATCCAAAGCCATCCGTGGCTGATCTTCCCTTGGCGCTCCGTTGGGGGTCAGGCAATACCACCAATGCTTCTGTGTTTTTGAGGCTCGGGGTTCGTGTTCTTTTCTCGGGGTTGGTGAAAAAATGAAAACGGAAAACCTAAATTCCATGTTGGGGAGGTTCCTGGTAAACCAAAACGGAAAACACAGAATCCATGTTTGGGGGGGGGAACCTCCAATTTCGACACACACCCAGAAGCTACAAAGCCCTGCGCTGGTCAATCTGCCGGGTGACTCTGAAACCCAAGGAAGTTCAAGGCAGAACGGCGGCTTTGGATATATAGAGGAACGATCCAGCGCACAGGTCAGGGTTGCCTATACACCAATATAATCATAATCATATATATATATGTAGTACATATATATATATACGCACATGTATACATATTTACTTGTATATCTATTCATCCTTAAAACCTGCCAATCATTTGCAAAGTTCAACACATGAAACTGGCCCTACCTGAAAATGGAACCTGCCTTCTCGACCTTCTCGACCTTCTCCGCCACTCCCTAGCCAGGTTGCTTGAAAGCCACGGTTCCAACACCTCTCACTCGCAGCGCCCAAAGAATTGGTCAAACAAATTGGTTAAGCTTTGGAGACGGTGACGGAGCAAGGGGTCAACACTGCAAACACCAAAGGTCAAAGGGCCAAAAGGGCAAGTAAGATTGGGTCATTCTAAATGGCTGATTTGAGGGCAAACAAACAAATGATGGCTAGCAACAGTTCTTAGAACCTGGGAGAACTTAATGTACTGAATACGTTATACTTGAGGTTACTAGCAGTTTACCAAGCGCCCCGCCCTTCAATTGCGAATCCAATATGGGCAACTCCCTGCTGCTGGATGGTTGGTTGCATGAATCGCCATTGGCCGACGTCCGCCAAACCCTTCGACCAAGTAGAAGTCACACCCACGCACTTGAAACAAAGTTCAGGCCGATTCAAAAGCCATGGCTTTCCTGAAAAATGGCCAGGGCAGCTATTGCATCCCAACCACCCCAACAATTTGCGGCCCCATGACTCGGCTCCCATGCCGTGAGTTGGCTCAAACCCTGAGAAGAAAAGAGCAAACGACCCGGATCCCTCGCCTTTTCAGTGAGCCCGGCTCGTGCACGGCCAGGCTTGCGGAAGTAAAGACAAAGTTGACGTGCCGAAGGGGCCATCGAAAGAGAGCTCGCCAAAACGCGGAGCATGGTGACCGGGCCTTCCCACAGATCCGGCGGCTTGGAGGTCGGCCTCAGGTGCCGCCCCGAACGAGGAACAGGTCGATCACCTTTTGAAGCTTGGAACAGGGGGCGATTCGGTGACAAAGACCACACCTATGCTTTGCTTTTGGGGGATTCCCCTTCCGAGTCCTTCCCAATTCAGGCAGCCCTGAATCGGAGATTTGGATTGGTGGTTTGGGGGTTTGCACCCCTGATTCTTGCAGATGGCAAATGGGAAACCACCCCTTAGCCACCAAACCACCAATCCAAACCACCTAACTGGGAAGAAGCTGATTTTATAAGTACGCAACCGGAATTGTCGAAAACCCGGGCCATGGGAAGCGCCCCAAAAATGGGTCTAGCTTGCCTTTGGCTGCAAGCCAGCTCCCCATGTGTCCCTTTTCGTTGTAAACATCACCTTTGCTTCGCTCATTTAAGGTAAGTTTTGCTTGGTAGTAGTGAGGTGCTTAGGGAAATGTAGGGAACCCGGTATACTTGCCCACATTGCCCCCGGGTATAAGTTCGTAGTTGGCCCCGCGGGTACTAACTTGCAGGGTTTGGGGGGGGGGGTGCAGGGAGGCGAAGGAAGTGGTTGACAACAAAATGTAGATTTTGTGGACATGCACCAGTAGAAATGCCAGGGCTGCTTTCTTTCTTTGCTTTCAGCAACCGAAAGGAGGTTCACCGCTGTTCGTTGTGTTGAAGTCGGGTCGGCTCACTCCCTGCCCCGGCTGGCAACACCACCAACATGTGGACTCTGGACCAGACTTTGCTTTCTGCAATAAGGTTGACTGGTTGCTTGTTGGAATCGGAAATGAAGGGATCACAAAACATACTGTAAGTGTGTGCGTGTGTGTGTGTGTGTGTGTGACTGGGGGGGGGGGGCAACCTAGGGTTGATTGAAATTACCAACCACATTGCGATCCCCCACCAGGCCATCCAAAATTGACCACAGGCCATGAAAAGGCAACCTCAGGCCATCGCTGAATCTGCTTCTCCATGCCATTGTGGTGCACATGGTGGTGGACGTGACAGTGAAACACCCCTGTCGCGCGTGCAGGAAGCTGGCTGCTGAATAGGGGGGAGGTCCTTCAAACACCCAGTCTCTTATGCTTGCTGGTTGTTGGAAAATGTGTAAACGACGAAATCACGACGAAGTGCCCAGTCCTTGATTGGGAGTGAAAGGAATAAACAGGTTTCCAGTTGGAGAAGCCAAAACCGGGATTCATCGCATTTGCCGAAGCGGCTGCGTCTTCGATAAAAGCGGCTTGGCCACGACGGAAAAGGTGAAAAGGTGAGCCATCTTCCAAAAAAAAAGGCCCGGAGCACTGGTAAGAAGCAGCCCACCTGACCTTGGAAAGTCCTGGTATCAAGAAGCAGTCCACCTGTGGACCTTGGGGTCCAATGGGATGGCCCCACCCGCTGGGATCTTTCTGATTGCAGTTCTCCAACCCGGGATCCGTCTCTTTGTCAGTAGCTCCGAGGAAATCAGAATGAATTTGAAAAGGATCCAGCAAACCCCCGCGGAGAATACGAGCTCACCCATGAAGATCCTTGGTGATCCTTGATTCTGGCTGAATCAAAGTCGCCCAGTCAAGCACGCTTGCAGGCCCAGCGAGGTGTGAGAACAAGCTGAGTACACAATCATATAATATGTGCCATTGTCAATGCATCATGTTATTTGGGGCCGGTAGGGATGATCTTGAACCTCCCGGGCAGGTAGTTTCAACAATCTGGGGAGGAGTTAGGGTCAACCTCTCTCCGAATCAGCCCAGTGACTTAATGCGGGGCGTGTTCCCCCCAAAAGAAACGGATACCTAAAACGCGACACCCCTTCAAGTTCATCCGAGCCAAATTCGGTAACAGGCCAACCTCCAACCCAAGCTGTTCTTTGACACTCCTCTAGGGGACCCGTCATGCCAACCCATCCCCTCAACTTTTGTTCAAGCCGGGTCCCTGATCCTTTCCCTGGCCTTGCGTCGTCGAATTCATCCGGTTGTACTCCACCTGGGAGGGGATCGGGTACCTTGGTGTTCGGCTAGTGCGGGGATGCAAGGTATGGCTCTGGGATCAATCGTTTGAGATTATTGAAGCCATCCGCAAACTCTGCATGCCAAGCCTCTGTGCCCCTTTTCAGCTTTCCCCTCCCAAACCCTCAGCAGGGATTCTTTTATTTCTTGGGTGGTTGAAGCATCCCCTTTGGCTCAATGTCAATTTGCGTTGGAGGTTTGCAACAGGAAAGCAAAGAAAAAACCATCAGTTCTTGCTGTGGAGCATCACATATACAGTAAATCAACAAACTGTACAAAAGAAACCGCCGGCAAAGAGACTCCGATCAAGGGGTTTGAAGTCAGAAACCCTGAGCCCTTGGTGTCTTGGGCCTTGGAAGTCAGTCACTGAAGACCAAACAAGTCTCAACTTAGGGGTCCCAGATATTTTTTTCCCTCAACACCCTCTACAAACAGTGTGTTGGGAGGCTGAGTTTTGTGGTCCCGGTCCCGGTCCTACCGACTCAGGAATTTGTCTAAACCCTCCGACAGCGGGGTAAATTGGTGGGGTCCCGGTTCCGACGCGGTATACACCGGTCAGTCGCATCCCAACTTGGGGCCTCCATCAGGATCTACATGTCCCCTCCTACAGTTGGCATTTCCGGTGCAAGGGACAGATAGATCATGTCTAAAAATGCACATGGCAGAACGAATGATCATATAAATCATATAAACATGCATATGATGTGTGTGTGTGTGTGTGTGTGTGTGTGTGTTCCAGCTTTATGTTCATCCCATGTGGGCCAAGAAGAACACCTAAAAATGGCGAATAGGAATCGGTGTTGGACGCTCGTGAAAAGGCCATGTTTTAGGGAAATCCTGGGGACACATTCCTGAAAACTTGGATGGCTTCAACCCCTGGGAACAATTAGGATGGTTCGGCCGAGCCGAGTTTAGCCCTCCAAGGCAGCGGTAACCCTAGGGAACACCCAATATTGGGACATCTGGCGTACACAAAAAATAAGTGAACTTAGTGACTCAGATTCGGTTTCCTGGTTAAACTGCACAGGAATATGGGAGCGCCTCTTTTCGGACCCTCAAACATGGTTGGTTTTCGTTTTGGTTTCCCTTCAAAGCCACCAAAAACGGAGTGAAACAAACACACATTAACGGCACCCCAAATTGCACCCTACCCTGCCGGGAAATAGCATGTGACCAAAAAACCTGCGTAATAACTTCTTGAATTTGCAGCCACAGCCATGTGAGTGTTGAACACCCAAACAAAAACGGGAAAAACAAGAAAAAAACATAAAAAAAAAGAAAAAAAAGAGAGAAATGAAAAAAAACAACAACAAAATAACAAATTGGGACTCGGGTCTCCGGCTTTTCGCGGCGCTGATCTCCAATCCGGTTTCTGCGGAATCGCAGGTCCATCTTGGTGCGCTCCAGCCTGGGACCCACAAGCGTCTCCAAGTACTTGGCGTGTGGCGTCCACCCTCAACGCTCAGATCTGTTAGCCAAGGATTGGTCAGAGAAGATCTGTTAGGAGTACCCCTTGGTCAACAAAAAAAGATCTGTTAGGATTGGTCAACGCTCAAGCTTAAACCATTGGTTTTGAATGCTTTCTCGATTCACGGCACATACGTAAGAGGTTACCACATGTAGTCATACACTGAGTTTCATCGGGTTTGTCGGGGGCACTGTTTTTTCAAGCTCGGCATTCAATCAATTCGACTGGAAGAGTTCAAATGGAACCGGCGAGGGAATCTTCCAGAAAAGCCGCCGAGACCAATGCTACTGTTACAGGGCGGCTCTCTTCGACAATTCATTCAGGTACTGATTACTGGTTGAGAATGTGTCTCCGCATGCCACCTTGGAGAACATCTTAGATTGCCAAAGAGCTGCCAGACTAAAGACTTAGCGCGGGAGGCGTTGCCAGATTCAAGACTTAGCGCGGGAGGCGTTGACAAATTTGCTGGCTGCTCGCGCTCACTGCGCACGGCAACACAAGCATCAGCCTGGAAAACTTCTCTGAGAGAGAGTGCTTGAGAGAAAGTAACAAGCAAAGAATATGCTGGATCCGGACCAGTCAGTACTCGTCAACGCAACAAAGCAAAAGCAAGCATGCCTTCTTCAATAAGCATTAATGCTACTTCTGCAATCCAAAGAAATGCTGGATCCGGATCAGTCAGCACTTGCCTCGCCGTAGCTGGCTCGCAACTGCAGAATGGCTGACTGAATGGGTTCTAGTTTGCTACAAGGGCACATCTCAGTGAGGCGGTTGAAGCTCATTTTACGGGTGGCCCGGCTCAGATCCTTGAGCATGGGTGTGCTGGAGCTGGAGGGCTCAGGAACCTCTAAGCGTGCCAAATGCTCGTCCATGAGATCGATAACTCGAATAGCTCGCGGAAACTGTTTTGCCCGAGCCTTCAGACGGGGAAGAACATGGTTCAGCTGTTCTTGCTCACTGAGGCTGCGCAGGGCTAGGCGCTGCCGCTTGTCCAGCGTCATAGAACGATCATGGTGTGGATGATGGCAAAAGCCGCATTGGCGGCCGTTGGGGCACCAAAACTGCCTGACCATGAGGAGGCATGGTTTCCGGCAGAACTCTGGATGCCCTAGACTTCCCACAAAGGCCACCTGCACATCGTCCGTGTCGTTCCTCTCAGGAGCCATGGGGGAGGGAACGGAGACAGGCAGAGGGAGGGAATCCTGCACTTTGGCGGCGCATCCGTTGGCGTTGGCGTTGCGCACCTCCACAAAATCTGATAGCAGAGCAGAGGCACGCTCCTCCAGCGTCTCAACCTCATCAGGTTCGGGAGTTTTATCACGCAGCACAGCAGGAAGGCTAGCTGATCTTCCCGCTGACGAAGTGTGCGACTTGATGGCGATGAAGGTGTTTTCCACGCGACAGTACATGGCTCTCCGCTGCCTCAACGAATTATCCTCTGACTTCTCTGCTTGGCTTGAGCCACTGCTCCGCCAGGCTGGCTAGCTTTACCGCAACAACCAATGCCACTTATGCAGCCCTGTGTATCATCAAACTCCAACATGCCCAATTCGTGCTCGTAGATGCTCGTCCAAAATGCGGATTCGAGACCGCGGGATTTGGGGTACCACATGGTGCTGGCAGTGCACGAAAAACTGTTGTTCAGTCGCGGTTAAAAAAAAAAAAAAACTAGGGCCAATTTACGGTGCGTTCCCTTGTGCTTGGTGGGGTAATGTTTGGGGGGATTGAAGGGAATTAAGCAGGACACGAGATGGAACTATAGCCGGAACCCAGGGAAAGAAGTACCCAATACCAATTGTTTACTCTTGTGGCGTGGTCATTGGAATGGCTCGGGAAAACACTGTCAAACAAATCCCGAGCCAAAAGGTCCTTAACTCCGCTTCAGCCTTACGTCAAATATTTGCTGTGAAGGAACTTGTGACAGTTCCCTTGCCGCTTTGCGAGTTTGCAGTTTTCTCAGCCCAAATGCAGAAACAGGAAATGCACGGAAGTCGGCGGGCCATGTGCGGAAATTGGCGGCAAAAGCAAGGAAACCTGCGGGAAAAGAGCGGAAAACAGCGGAACATTTGCTTGGAGAATTGCGCACCTTCAGTCCTCGATGACTTGCACACATTCACATGGCTTCTTGGACCATGAATTGCCCGCATGACAAATACAGCTGTCCACATGTAATGAATTACGAAAATGCGCGGATGCTTTGCAGGCTTCCCACCTCGATCTCGACCTAATTCCGAAGGTTACCCCAAAAAGTGTCCGCCCGGCCTTCGCTGTCGTCTTCTGTAAAGAAATGCAGTTGCTCACATGAGATGCCCTGTTGCAAGCACCACGGCAAGTGTGGTTCGTTGGGGCCCACCAGTTGGGGCCCGCTAGCTCATGGGTGTTGTTCTGGTCTGCGCGCGGGCCCATGTTATACTCTTTGCCCGCCTGGCGTTGGCTGTCCAAAGCAACTTATTGTCTTGGGTCACCTTGTTTCACAGCATATGTCTGGAACAAGCGAGGTTGGTTCACTTACGTGATGCCAGACAAGCCCCTTGACATAGTGTTTTTAGGGAGTGGGCAAGTCCTTTACCGTGTTTCGAACCATGGACAAACTACTGATACCTGTTTTTGGCTTGTCCCTGCCCCACCACAAAAGCAAAGCCGGAAGCAAGACGTTGCTGCCGCCAAGCGGAAGCCCCGAAACATGCCACGATTCATGAGAACACAGTGCACAGAAGTTGGCAAAAGCTTGAATGACGCGGGCATTTTTTTATCGCATGTCTATAGTAGGCCTGTGCATGCTCTACACAAATATATATATATATATATAATATGTCTACCATTGGTGTCTACCAGCTGGTGCAGTCGGTCACAAGCGCGCACGGCATGTAGATCCTAAAAGCCTAGTTTGCAACCATTTAAGCTTCAAAACAGGGTACCGACTCAAAAGTAGTACAAACATGATGGTGCTCCTTTCGATCTCCCCTGATTGTGGGTACCAATACCCAGAAAAGGCAGGTCTTACAAACACCAATCCAACTTGGCCCAGTGCCCGTAGGAAGAAAGCACACCACACCCGACTCCAAAAATGCCCTCCTTCGGTCGGGGGGGGTGGTCCATTTCACTTCAAAGGAACATGGACCCACCAATGGGATTTCAGTGCTACCCTCCCCCGAGCTACCTTGCCGCATCGAGGCAACTTGGGCTCTGGCTTGTTGAGCGCCGCCATATCCACTAGGCCAGGCCGCAGGAATCTGGGCAAGCCTAGCACCGCTTGGCAGCTTGGCATGTGCAGAAGGCAATGGGGTCATGGATGCTTCAGCCCGAAAGCAAGCTAGATCCCCAAGTATCCATCTCATGAGCTCATTTTTGCCAGAGGTCGGTGAGCTCCTAAAATTGGCGGAGGCCGAGTGGTGCTCCGCTCGTCTTCCTCGGGTGGCTCCAAAGGCCCTCTTCAGCAAGGTAGGCCCTGGAAAAGAGAAAGCAAAGGACCCCTAAACTCTGTGTCCATTCTTCTACCCTTGGAGTGTGGTGATCACTTCGAGGTTTGGAGAGCAAGTCATGGCGACAAGCGATCTGCAAAATGATTAATTACATGTTGTTGTTTTTGTTTGGTACCCTTTTGGGGTTGGCGAGGGTTGCCCTATTTGACACAGACCCAAAAGCGGAAGGAACCCACCGTGTTCTTCTCCATCTGGGGGGTTCCTCTTGCAAGCGCGATGCGGGGCACAAGTCAATAGAATGATGCGGGACCCGTACTTCTCACCCAGGTCAGGTTCAGTCATGAATCTAGGATTAAAACTGCTTGAGCAAGTAAGTCTTCAGCCAAAAAAGAAGATGGGGAAAACAAAAGCAAGAGCCCAAACAAAGTGCGGCTGCCACTCCGCACGTTCGCCTGTGCTGGCCATGGCGGCCTCAGCCGGTCATGCGAACGCTGCGAGGCTTACCACTGATCGAAAAGGCTTGGGGGTTGGTCAAACATGGTGTTCGGCCCCAAAATGACAATGGGCAACTTTCCCATGTGAAATTTGTCATCTTCTTTTAGGTGGTTTCCTCCGATGGGCGCCGATGGGTCGCCCCATGTTTACAGGACCTTTTGATCAACCCCGATTTCCCACTTGACCAATCTAACTCAACCCTTGACACATCTCGGGCCTTCAGAGTCGTTCCCGAACAAACCCTTCCTTTTCTGAAAGCCGCTACGAGAGCCTGGCCCCCGCAAAAAGGGCGAAAGTTTTTCCGTGAGCTTTTTCTGGGTAAGCCGGGCATCTTGACCGGTGTGATTGGGGGAGCTAAAGGCAACCTTCGGGACGGGTAAATGAATTGGCATGTTGACCAGCAGGCTAGATACACTATGGGCACACCACCTATACAAACATAGGTATATGTATATATATATATATATACATAGAGGTATGTATATCTGTATATGTATATTCATAGTTATATATTTATATATTTGTGTGTACACACACACATATATATATATAATGTACAGTGGCTGCCCCCTAAATCCATGTTATCACGGCCCGTCAATCAGAACGGATCTCGTTTAAACGCGCAACTAAAAGGGAAAGCTCTTGTGACCAGGTGGGAAGTTTGCTTGAACATCCCGGGCACGGAACAAAGCTTTCCTTTCATAGGTCTGGAAGCAAACTGTTGCAAACCCCCATCAATGGGAACCGGATTCATAAATCCCTGGTTGATTAACCGGATTTCCCTTTTAGTTGGACTCCGGATCACTTTGGTGGGTGACACCCCCCCTATTAGGGTTTATTCGTCCGCCCAAAGATTCCCGTCTTGGTCCAGGGCGCTTAGCACAAAATGACCACTTGAGACTGCGCGTTCTCCAAAATTGCACCTAGTCTTCCAAAAGAGGTGCGTGTGCACGTGTGCACGAGGTGTGTTAGCCCTTTTTTGCTCAAGGACGTGACGTGATTCCAAAGGTTGAGGCAGGGAAGTCTAAGATATGCTGCCCCAAGGCTCCTTCAGGAAGCGCCAAGAAAAAGCACCCCGCAGGGTTCACAAGCTCACAACGGCGATCACCGGTTGGGGCCTTCAACAGGCTCACTTGCCCAAAGTGCCAGCAAAAACGGCAATCACCTGTTGGGACCAACTTGGGCAAAGCCGGAAGGTCTGCTAGTTTGATTCCAGATGAGACAGCCACAAGGCTATAGCTTTGGGCAGCTGAGACAGGATTTGCTGGGAGCCTTCGTCATGTTCCAGAGGCGCAACACCGAGAGCCGCAAGCTCGGCACAAGTTGCCATTCGACCTGCTTGGATAGAAGCATGCTTGTCATGCCCATGACCCAGAAACGACAGCTCACGAAGAATCCCCAGAGCGCCGACCTCATTGACTGCTACCAAATTCTGTAGTTCCAGTCCGGCTCATTGGAGTCGGTAGGAGGAAAATTGTCGGTAGGGGGGAAAATTGTTCCCTTCATCACAAGCCCACAAAAAGTGTGCTTGCTTTTTGCCGGAACTGCCCCTTTTCCGTTTGTTTGACATCATTCGATGTACATCCGGTAAATCCGGGGGTGGACCCCGAGGCTTCCACCGCCTGAACCGATTGCCGCTGCCGCGTCTGGAAGGCCTGCGTTCGTTTCATGAGGCGCTTCCGTGAGAAAAACGTGTCCAAGCCACGTAGCAGCCAGCGGGGTAGCCCCAAAAATCTGTGTTTTTTTGGTGCATTGTTTTCTTCCTTGCCTCTAAGCTTCACCCTTTCAGGAACTCGACTGAGAAAGGTATGAAACTGGCAGCGTACCCACAAGCCCTGAGATCATGGCGCCTCCCTCAACCTGAAGGAGCTGCTCAATCTGAAGTGGAGCTCACTCCTTCAAAAACGGATCTTGTTGCAAACTCCGAAAATTGGCAGCACACAAACATGTACCAAAATCGCACCTTGGCAAACGGAACCAAAGCCAAAAACTGCCTAGGCCCTAGCTCTTGCATTTTGACCCACGCCCAATTCACAAATCGGAAATAAGAATACCATGGGCCGGACCCTTCATGAGCAATCTGGTAGGTGAGCGTGGCCCTCGTTGTGGAAATCCCACACTATTCCTCGTGTTTCGCCCGGGCGCGCAAAGCCAGCGCTGTCTTTTTGCTCCATAGTCCCGAGGCAGTTTGGAAAGGACATCCGTAAACCTTCCCCTGGTGCAGCGTTTGGATGCCCCTTTTTCCAGGCTACTCCTCTTAGCATAGCCTTCCTATGTCCCCTGAAACGTCCCAACAGAAAGAAGTTGAATTGAAACCGGCCAGTCTTATTCTATTGGTGACCATCAACCGGATTTTACTCTCCTGCTTACATTCAAAAGCGGGAGGGTAATTAAGGCCTTGGGATTCTTTGGGTGCCGCCTTGGGCCTCAAACTCTCCTTGTGTCTTTTTGAGTTGTGGCACCCACCCTCTTTTCTTTGCAGGGGTTTTACTTTGAAGGGTGACCCAAAGTAAGCCACACAGAATGGCATGGTGGGCCCGTTCCCGAAAAAGTATCTCTCAAACGCGCCCATGTCCGCATTCGCCCGACCTTTCCACCGCGATGCGCCTCGGTCTGGGAGCTCAGGTCCGGCGCGCGCTGCTCCTCAGAACGGGAGGGGGACACCGCTACCACAGCTGGTCAACTCGGTTGCTTTCTGCTCCCCTACTAAAAGTTTGGCTTTTAGTGGTTTAATGAGAAACCCACTAGTGGCAAAAAGTTAAAGTCTTAACATCCAAGCAAAATGCAACAAAGTCAGTATATATCTGCCGACCGAGTGGATTGGATCCAACAAAAATCCCTCCACATTGTTGATTTAGAACGAACATGGTCCAATCCCAAAATTGAGCAAAGCCTTTGACATGTAGCACGAAAATGGCAACCCAGCAAACAAAAAGTGACTAAAGTCTGAAACGGAACTCTGGATGTGAGATATCTTGCTGGTGCAATAGGTACAATGAAGAATGGAATGAACGAAAAACGGGGACCCCGAGATGGTTTCCTAGAAAATCCCGAAACGGTTCATTCCCAACCCGAACCGTCATTATTTACTGAGCACCGGCAAGTTATACAAGAGATATCGATACTGATTTCCCAATGGAAGAAGTGGGGTCCAGCGATGGGTTTGTGGGGGGTTGAGGTTGTCACGCCTCGATCATGTGAGGCATGGCCATTGGCCAAGGAATGGCGTCTTGTACCCATGGCATATATCCTCACTCCGACTAATCTTGGTGCTGTAGATCCACGAGCAAAAAAGGTTTAACTTTTTGCTGGTTAAAAGGAAATATGAGGGGAATCCAACAAGCTAAAGTCTAAAGATCCAACCGAATAGCAGTCAAGTAACATGGCAACTCACAGGGGGTCCCCACAAGAGGAAAATGATCTAGGTACCCTCCCACAGTTGCTATGGTAGTGGAAGGGAGGGTATCCACCGTGTCCCTGGGTACTTGCTATCTTTACACGGCTGACGATTGCAACTCGCACGAAAGCGCTTGCTCCGACTCCTCCGTCGAAAACTTTCGGCTGCCCTTGCTGAAGAGGCTGCCTCGCAAGCTGCCAGAAAAAGGCGCAGGTGTCCGGGTTCTGCGACAAAAGGCATAATGGAGTGGCCGACGTAAGGCCCTGAAGGTGTTCAAAGCAGCAAATCGGTCATGTTCCAACCCTACACCATCCCCAGAACCAAACCCGAACACGACCCCAGCAAAAGGAAACTCATTACATGACTTAAGGCCTTTTCCACAGTTTTGCAAAAGGGAGAATATCACGACCCCCAGCAGCTAAGGGCAAAATGCACCCGTCGCTTTTGTTTTGCAACAAATATTCTGCTGCACCCCACTAAGATATTCCAACACAAACACACAGCACCCCACTGAGATATTCCAATACAAACACACACACACACACACACACACACACACACACACACACACACACACACACACACACACACACACACACACACACACACACACACACACACGTGCGCGTGCTTTCTCTCGTTTCTCTGAGGGTACCCCTTCTTTGCCTCGGCTTTACAGGAACCCACAGGGCTCAGCCGTTTTGAGGAGCTCGCCCTTTTGCAGCTACAGCGATGCTCGAAGCCGAGGCCTCCGCTGCGTTGGGTGCCGGAGCCCTGCCTGCGGAGTCGCTCGATTGGAGTCGCTGGCTTCAATCTTTGGGCTTCTTTTCGCTGGCAGGGGCGGGGAATTTGGAGTCAAGGGGAATCTCCATGACTGCCAGACAATTCCAGGATGAATAGCTGGGTCGCTGGATGTCCCCGAATCAACAATTGATCAACTTATTGGGGGCTTCCATTGAAACGATCGCCAGTGTTGGAGGTTCCAAAAAGGGAAATGGCTTGAAATGACGCAGCAGGGCTTTGGCGGCAGCTCGGACCGCACGAGCCGCAGCAAGTCCCCTGCCAAGCGTGCAGGCTGGCACACCTTGTTCGTCGAACTTTTGGCGTACGACTTCGACAAACATTTTACAGTCAAGAAGCCAAAGCCCAACTCAAAAGGCCGATTGGCTTAGATGGCGCTCAGGCGAATTTCCCGGCCATCGAGGCCAGGGTCACCGCTAAGGTCTCCATGAGGTCGGTCAACGCCAGGCTGTCGCAGCCACACGGCCACACGAAATGGGCAGCAAACGAAATGAGTGCCTTCGCACAGCTTGGATCTTTCAAACGAAAAGCCCAAAGCAAACCACCCAGTTCGGGTCCATGTTGAGATAGACCCACAGAGCTCAAGAAGCAACCTCAGTCCTTTGGTTGTCCGATTGTGGTATTGAATCTGTTCCACTGTTCCGCGTGATTTCACCCAATTATTGCCAGCACAGTGTGGGAATTGTAGCAGGGGCCAAAGAAAGCCATTTTGGTAGACCCAGCAAGTAGATCACACAAAAGGAACCAACTTGCAATCCCCAGATGCCAAAACTATCGGAATTCATTTAGGTGTTTTTTAAGCTTTTTTGCTTGGCATGCCCTTTCTCAGGGCGTCCAATGAAACCCGAGCAAGTAAACCACGGACGTAAACGACCTGATTCCGAACTCTGGAAGACACCCACCTCACATGAGACAGCTGGCTTGGCTTCCGTAAAAACCACAGTAAAATCACAAACAAATCCAGAAAGTTAAACTTGCGGGTGGCTACACTGGTCCCCAAAGCTCCGGGGACTGGCGAAGCAAGCCTTTCGTGGAGAAACGAGAAAGAAAAAGGTGGGCAATTTGCAGCCAAACCCCTTGCGCTTCTGCTCGTTGCAGAGCAAGGAAAGGAAATGGGAATGGACCTTCCTTCACAGAATCCCGAGTGAGAATTTCACTTGTGGCCAGCTGGCCCAAATCGACCCAGCGCAAATGTTCCGCGTGTGACACCAACTGCAAGAAAGCCAACTTCGGGGCCCACGCAAAATTGAAATGACTCTTTGAAGCACCACTCAGGTGCTACTGGAGCCTTACACGCAAAACGGTGCCTCCTTTTTTTTTTTTGCCGCATAGGGGTTAGTGCCAAAATGGGAGGATTGCCCAGTTCCACTGGGCAGCTCCCCTCAGCAGCTGATGGGAGTAGGATTGATGCCGCTCCCACAGCGAGGGAGAAATCCTCCCACCTCACCGGATGCCCTCCCGGCATCATGGGTGAGGAAGGAAAGTAGCGAAGATCAGTGTGATCAATTCGCTCTCGACTGAGGGGAAGACCCGGTTCTCAGTCGGGAACTGCGGGTCCGGATGAGTAAGCTCATCCGCCCACGTGTTGAAGTCGCGTTTCACGTGCGACGGCCCCAACATGACCTGTTGGTCATGCAGCGTGAGCACAATTTCCATGAGGATGGCCGCATTGGGCATCCTGCGAGTGGAATCGTTAAGAAGGGAGAAAACATTTCCCTGGTTATCACTAGCCACCAGGATCCTAGTGTGAGAAGCCGAGCCGGCTGCACAAAGCAGAACGGCCCTCACCAAGAGGAGGAGGCCGAAGAGCTCCAAGGCCGCTATCGCCCGCTGCGGGTCCCCAGTAGCGAAGGCCCACGGCTCGCCCTCCGGTGTGATTCTGTGCTGGAACCACTTAACACGGGACTTATCGGGGTTGGGCACGTCCGAGCACCAGCCACCAACCCATGCATGGTCCGCCTGCCTGCCAGCTCCCGCATCAGATGCCCCCGTCCATGGGAGTGTGGGAGCAAACGGGGATGCCAGTGGGAACCTCTGGTTGAAGAGTCTCCCCAAAAGGATGGCCAGAGCACGAACCAGCTTCGGTGGCCTGCCCGAAGTGGTGCAGGCCTTCTTCCAGCTCCAGAAAGGCTGGAGGAAAGGTTTCGTCAATGGGCACGCCGAAGTAGCCCATTGAATACGGCCTAAGGCTTGTTCCACCTCCTTGCTGGTGAAGATGTCCCCCTGGGCCAGCCGTTTAAGAGTGGCCAGGATTATGACATGTTTGACTGGAGCAAGCAGTACACAGGGCGTGATTGGGTCCACCACAAAACCCAACCAGGTGTTGATCGGGGAGAGCGCCGTCTTCTTCCAGGAAAGCGGGACTCCCAGCGCCAGCAGTGTAGCCAAGATGGCTGTGGCGTCCCAGTCCGCCCGGCTGCATCTGAGGACCCAGCAGTAGTCGTCCACAAAGACTAAGTGCCAGTCCACCTGGGGGAAGATGTAGTACAAGAGCCTGAGCACCAGGGATGCCTTCCTCCCCCAGTACAGCTGTGCCGAGGCCATGCCGTACGTGCCCACTCTGTTGACCCACCACCGGTTTTGGATGCAGGCCACCTGGTATTTCCAGTCTTTAGGGAGTACTTTAATACGCCTGTGGGCCTTGGTGACATCTGCCTTGAGGATGATGAAGGTTTCCCCCTGTGTCGGCGGCTGCCAGCTCAGGGGTTCCCCCCCGCTCCTGTCAGGGCATTCCGTGCCCGGGGGGGGTGGGGGGAAGGGGGCCCTCCTATCAGGGCCCTCGGCACCTGGGAGTGGTCCCTTTCCTGAGGGTGTCGATCCCAGCGAGACGTCCATGCCGCCGGAGGTATCCATAATCCCCCTGCCCCGACTCGGCCCTGGGGGGCAGGCTGGTGCTGTGGGGGTCCCTCTCAGGGCCCTCGGCACCTGGGGACTGCCCCTGCACCGGCTGGTGGACATCCCGAAGTCTCTCCTCAGTGTTCGGGAACGTAGCCCAAAGTAAATGGGGATGGTCCGCCGCTGTCCTGAGCCAGTGGATGGCGTGGAGGCAGTCTCCGACCATCGGTGCAGTGGTCTTCTCCGCTGTGTGAGCCTGGATGTGTGCGTTTGCTCCCCCTTTTGAGCCATCGTAGATCGTCCTGATCTTGTCCGACTCATCAATCCCTGCAAGGGGCCCAGGGCAAAGTTCCTCCGGTTTGCAACAGCACCTCTCCGCCGCCTCGGAGCGAGTGAAGGGCCCGTCCACCATGTCCAAGGCTCGTTCCTCGTAAAAGGTTGATTCGATTTCCTCGGCAAAGAGTTCAGCCGTTGGGTAGTTATCATGAGCCACTGGCGGGGGGGGGTCTTCCCCCAGCCAGGCTTCTCCCTTAAGCTCCTCCTTAGTGGGCCAAACTCCCGGGGAGGTCAAGGTAGGGTCCGAGACTCCCAAGGGGACCCCCTCCTTCAGTGTAAGGGGGAACTCCCAGTCAGGGTCACCTGAGAGGGATGCCAAGTGCGACACTAAGTCCAGGAGGAAGGGTTGTCCTGGGCATCGTTCATGGAGGTGCCTCGGTCCTAGGATAGCCCGCAGCTCCTCGAGGTCGGCTTCCTGGAAGGGGTGTGTGGTGGCACCTGATGCCAGGGACATCCGGACCTTATCAATCCAGGGCCTGGTAAGGGTCATGATCAGGGCGCCCAAAGTGGCCAAAGGGGAAATTCTTCGAAAGGGGGGGTTGAGCCTCCCCGGGGAAGGTTTCCCCCCCCCATCCCTCAGGGGGCGTGATCGGAAACCCAATTGGACAATCGCAACTTGGTCAATGAGGCGTGGGACCCGGAAAGCGGGCAGACATTCGGGGCGGTCTAGGACCTGGTCCCCATGTTCTTCCTTTTCCAGTTGTTCCGCATCTCCGGCCATCGGGGGCATGGGAGATGGGAAGTCTGGGTTCATAGTTCCCCGAGGGCTTACGGTGTCTGCCTCATGGTGGATGTGCCCGTGCTGGCGGGGCTTCGGGGCACTCTTGCCTCCGGGCTCTGGGCCCTGGTGTGACGAGGAGGGACCGCCTCCCTGATTGGGTCCCCGTTTTCCCCGGGGAGAAGGGCCCCCAGGGGGGTCCGACCCCCTTCCCTTAGGTGGTTCCTTAGGGTTTCCCGGGAATTGTGAGGGGATCCGGATATGCCCCGGCGCCGCGAGTGACACAGCGATGGCTTTGGCCAGGCCTGCCATCATATCCCAGGGGTATCTGCTGAGAGTCGAGGACTCGCTGGTGCCCACATGTGACTGATGTGTGCACCGCATTTGATCCCAGTCCTCGAGTGGGAGATCCGTGGCAAGAGTGGTGGCCTTCTTGACCAACTGGCCCAGGCGGCACTGGTCGAAGGAGATTGCTGTCAGGGAGTTTTCCTCCATCCAAAGCTGCCCCTCCTCCGTGATCCAGAAGGATGATCATTCCTTGGCTTTGGGCAGCGAGCTGCTCACCACTGGGTCCTCCGGGTGCTCCAAGAAGGATTTTGGCCCTGGCAGAGAAACCGCCGATCTTGAGGCCCTTGCCAGGCTGGTGATGTACATCTGCCTCAAAATGAGGGTACTGTCCTCATCAAGCTGAGTCTGGGCGGCCTGGTCCAGGTGTGGGAGGCCCCAAAGTGTCTCTCGAGTGCGTCCTCGCACCGGGGTGGGGGCCCCCGGTTTTGGTATGTGGCGCAGGATGGACCATGTCCTGCAGTTGGGACCTCCCCCAATGAAGACCACTCGGCCCTGCTTTGCTGCCGTGCAGAGCGCTCCATACAGCTCGGGTTGGAGCATGTCGTGGTTCCCTTTTGGTCCCGGTCGTAGGATGTCTACTGCCACCACCATGCTGGAGAGGTGCGGGTAGTTGGCATGAAGACAGCTGTCTAAGGAAGTTGGGTCTTCCTTGCCTGCATAGAGCAGGACAATGATGGGCCCACTGGATGGAACTTTGGGCGATGTGCCCTGTGTCCATCTCAGCCGCTGTAACAGACGCT